AGGGTAGGCGAAGCCCGGGTCCGTCCCGGCAAGGCCGTCAGGCCAAAAAGCCCTACGATGGTAGGCGAAGCCCGGGTCCGTCCCGGCAAGGTCGTCAGGCCAAAAAGCCCTACGAGGGTAGGCAAAGCCCGGGTCCGTCCCGGCAAGGCCGTCAGGCCAAAAAGCCCTACGAGGGTAGGCAAAGTCCGGGTCCGTCCCGGCAAGGCCGTCAGGTCAAAAAGCCCTACGAGGGTAGGCAAAGCCCGTCCCGGCAAGGCCGTCAGGCCAAAAAGCCCTACGAGGGTAGGCAAAGTCCGGGTCCGTCCCGACAATGCCGTTAGGCCAAAAAAGCCCTACGAGGGTAGGCAAAGCCCGGGCCCGTCCCAGCAAGGCCGTCAGGCCAAAAAGCCCTACGAGGGTAGGCGAAGCACGGGTCCGTCCCGGCAAGGCCGTTAGGCCAAAAAGCCCTACGAGGGTAGGAAAAGCCCGGGTCCATCCTGGCCTCGTGAGTTGGCGGTACACTCGAAAGTGTCCGTCGACGCTTGCGCTTGAGCCCGGGGCCGTCCCGGCCTCGTTGAGTTGGCGGTACACTCGAAAGTGTCCGTCGACGCTTGTGCTCGAGCCCGGGTCCGTCCCGGCCTCGTTGAGTTGGCGGTACACTCGTAAGTGTCCGTCGAAGCTTGTGCTCGAGCCCGGGTCCGTCCCGGCCTCGTTGAGTTGGCGGTACACTCGAAAGTTTCCGTCGACGCTTGCGCTCGAGCCCGGATCCGTCCCGGCCTCGTTGAGTTGGCGGTATACTCGAAAATGTCCGTCGACGCTTGTGCTCGAGCCCGGGTCCGACCCGGCCTCGTTGAGTCGGCGGTACACCCGAAAGTGTCCGTCGACGCTTGCGCTCGAGCCCGGGTCCGTCCCGGCCTCGTTGAGTTGGCGGTACACTGGGGGCAAAAGATTGAACTAGAAAAAGCGTAAAGTCATTCCATTAGCTTAAAAAGTTTTTTCGCCCGACAAAACGGGGTCGGGCTCCCTGATGCCAGTCAACAAAAACTATTTGGCCCGGCACAAATACGGGGCCGGGCTCCCGTTCTAACAGTCTATGCTTCGGGAGGAGCCTGTGAGTGCGGCTCATCGGAAGGTGGCTGACCAGCGGCTGGGGGGGCTATCAAACGGCTCGGGGCCGGGATCGGGCACTTCGGCGGGTAGAACCCCCAAGACCAGGGCCAGATTGTCATCGTCGAGCGACTGAGCCAGGGCGTCCCGATCCTCCCGCTGAACCCGGCGTTGTCCAGAGTTAAAAGCCCATTTGGCCAAGGTCCAGGCCAGTTCCTCTCCGACCTCGTTCTTCAGGAAGTGGCGGAAGAATGCCTCACCCTCAGCCCGGTCGCGACAAACCCGAGCTACGAGCGCCTCCGAGTTGTCCAGCAGCTTCTGGGCCTCCGTCGCCCGGTTCTCCACCTTGACCAACCGTTCGTTGGCAGCCCGAAGTTTTCGCCGCGCGTCCTTAGCATCCTTCTCGTGACGGTTGGCGGCCTTCTGGAAGGCTTCAGCGTCCTCCGTCGCCTTTGCCCGACGGAACAGAGTTACCAAAGTGTGCGTTATCTGCAATAGAAAAACGGTGCTGGATAGTGAGTCACCAACGCGATAAAATAGGGGGCGAAGCAAGGCTCATACCTGCACGACATCGGCCGCTCCTTGGTCCCCGATCTCGTTGAGCGTATGCCCCCTCCCGTCATCACCGGTCGAGATAATGTCGACCAACCGGTTGAGCTTTGCCGCCGGATGTTCCCTGCTCAGCAGGACATTGATGACGGGGGTGTCCGTGGGCGGGCTAGCCCGTTTGCTGCGCTTCTGAAGAGGGACCTCCTCCACGTCATCCGCCTCCCGCTCCTTCCCCTTCCGGGTGCGAGATCGGATGACCAGCAAATCCGGCTCGGATTCGGCCGGATGATTCGAAGTGATGCTGAGAGGGAGACCGGTGGGAACGGTCGGATCCGCCGAAGAAGAGCCGACGGCAGCGCTCTTCTTGCCCCCGAGCGCTATCTTCAGCCGGGGCCCGGATGGAGGTGCTGGCGCAGCGATGAAAGCTTTGTCGAAACCCATGTCTGAAAAGAAAGCAAAAAGTTAAAATACCGGTCGAACGGGACCGAGCAAAACGAGACGCGGGTAAACAATAAAACCTCCGGGCACGGCCGAAGGGCGAGGGGGTGGCCGGGCGATGGTGATCTGAATCCGCCGGGGCTCGTACTTCTCTGGGAGATCGTACCGGGGGGGCTCGAGCCGGGCCGCCTTAAACGCCTCAGGAGTCTTGTAGGTGTGATAGTCGTAGAACTCTGACGAAATCTTCACCGTGGCATCGGCCAGCTCGCGGGTCTCGTCCGGAGTGACTTGCTCCAAGTAGTGGCTAGGCCATTCCCAGGGAACCGGCAACTCCCAGACGTACTTGACGGAGAATAATCTTTCTTTCCACCCACGGTTGTTGTCCGGTAAGCGGAGTATCTTGCACCGGTGACCGTGTGATTGAGCCTGAAGAAACTCGGACCCATACCGAGGCGCCAAAGGTCGCACCGAGTAGATGAAATCGAACAGCTCCATCGTGCAGTCGAGACCGTGCAGAGCGCAGACTTGCGGGAAGCACGCGATGATGCGATGGGCGTTCGGAGTGATCTGTCCGGGGAGGACCCCATAATGTTTGAGGAACATCAGCAGAAACGGGCTGAACGGAAAGGTCAGCAGAGCCCTCAAGGAGTCGAAGTGGAGCCCGAGCCACTCCCCTGTCGTCCGATCGACGATGTTGCCGAGCGCCCGGTCGGTGTCGACGGCTACCGCCCCGCCTATGATTGACTTAATCTCTTTAGCCTCGGCCCGGCTGAGAATGCTCATCTGGACGGCTACCGCCCCGCCTATGACGGACTCGCTGCTAAGGAAAACCAGCTTCCGCCCGGAGGTGGACGCGGCCGGGGCAGAAGTCGGCGCTGGAGCCGGGTCCCTGAAGCTATAGGCTAGCCGATCACGCGACGAAGGGGATAGGTCGGGACGCAGGGCTCCGACCACCGTCCGGGGGGACATCCCTGAACCTGAGGCATTGCTAAAGATCACCCGGGGCGATTTTCCCGGGCGTGATGACCCGACCAAAGGGGGGCTCAGCACCTAAACCCCGCTGGACTCGCCCTCCTCGCCCTCACCGCCGGAACCCTCGGCTAGGAAACCGCTCCGCCCTTCGGACCCGTTCGAATTGGCTTGACCAGCGGGGGCTTGCGGAGAACCGGGCGCGGTATAACGGTCGATGAATGCGTCCGTGTTGGTGGTCGCTCGCGAGGAGCCCGTCGCTTTGTCGGCTTCGTCCCCGGCCGCGTAGTCCCGACCGGACATGTTCTGGCTATCCGAGCTAGACATCTTCTCCCTTAAAGAGAAAATGAGGTGGGGGGGGGGGGCGTCTCAGTACGGGCTCTCGGTTCGGGTCTTAACCTACGTCTAAAGGGCTATAGAACTACAAGCGTAATAAAGTTAGAGATAAGGCTTACCGCTTAGAAGGCCTGGTGGCGACAACCGCTCTAAGCTCCGGAGGTGGAAGCAGAAACAGCCGGGAAGCTCTGAAGTTCGCTGAAGTTGCGAAAAGTTCTCAATGGGACCCCAAGCCCTTACTTATAGAAGCGAGAAAAGGCGGGAAAAAGAAAGCTTCCACAGCACGCCAGACCCGGATCCCAAGACTCGTAGATGACCGACACGTGGCGGGCTATGACCTACGCACGCCTCCGTCGTAACTCGCCCTATGCAGCCCGTTCATCCAGCGCGCCCTAAGGAGAGTCTAAGTCAGCCTGTGCCCCCCCCCCCCCCCCGGCGGGCACCGTCGGGCCTCGGGCTGGGGGCGATATGATGGGGAATATACACCGGTCATACAGAGCGCCGTACCGACCCGACCGTATGTCCCGGTCAAGTACGACCAGCAAGCCTTGCCCGGTCGCCCGGTCGTCCTCTTAGCAAGGGCGCTCCCAAAGGACCCTGGGGCGGGTGATGGGGATCGGGACGTACGATCGGCAGGATGGGAGCCCTGTCAGTAGCAGAGGCTTCGCGCCACGTGTACGGTTACCTGCTGGCCGCCTCTCCACCCGGTGCATGCGCGCCACGCGTCCGACATGCCGGAAGACCGGACGCGGTTCCCCATGGCTCTTATAAATACTGCATTAAATGCTAGTGAGAAGGACTTTTGGAGATTTCCACAAGCTAGGCTAGAGAGGTTCCCGGTCATCATTTACGATCGGTCTTCTCCTAACCCACTGTATTCGACCTTACATCAATCTACTTTTTATATACGCTTTATTTATCCACATCAGTCACAACTAGAGTTGGTGGAACAAAATGGATGTTTTCTTATGCCCAAAGCAAGTTACACTTTGCAGAAAAATAATCAGTTGGCTGTTTATGATTGGTTACAGGCTTTGAAACTTCCTAATGGGTTTTCTTCTAATTTAGCTACGTGTGTTGATTCTACATCATCAAATTAATTGGGATGAAAAGTCATGACTGTCATATTTTTATGCAGTTTTTGTTGCCAATTGCCTTCATGTTTTTACCAAGTTGTCATTGGAAACCTTTAGCCGAGTTAAGTGTATTCTTTCGTAATCTTTGCTCAACATCCCTCTGGCTAGACAAAATATGTGAAATGGAAGATTCCATTGTTCTTACCTTGTGTAAGTTAGAACGTATTTTCCCTCCAGCAATGTTTGATTGCATGGAACACTTGCCTATTCATCTCCCGTGCGAAGCACGCTTAGGTGGACCGGTACAGTATCGTTAGATGTATCCATTTGAAAGATTCCTTAATCACTTGAAGGCCAAAATGAAGAATAAGAGATATGTTGAGGGGTCAATTGTAGATGCATATATACTTGAGGAAACAACACATTTTGCATCATTTTATTTTGATGATCATGTGCAAAGCATAAGGACAAAAATAGGTCGAAATCTAAATGATGGCGGAATTGACCCAAATGTGCCTATTACTTTGTCAATTTTTAATCGCCCAGGCCGACCAATGGGGGCTCGAAAGACAAGATATCTAAGTGCAGAAGAACACTTCATAGCTCATCAATATGTCTTACTAAATTGTGAGGAGGTTCAACCTATTTTAAGGTATGTTGCATCTTTGCGACTGAATTTCTTTTACTATTTTTTTCCCTTTAATTTCTGGAAAGTCACATTTAGGTAATGCTATTTCTAATTGTTGCTTCTATTTGAATATTATATGTTGTTTGGGCAGTGTGATTTTTTTTTTCTAGATTATTTGTTGAATAACATGATGGCTGGTTCTTTTTTCTTTAGACTCATTTTAGCAGCAGCTGAATAGCAATAGTTGTATATTTGTATGCTGGATTTCATGAACATGCCCATCTTAGTTCTGAATTTGATATATTCTAGATACTGGTGAATTCCAACACCTAGATTGTGATTCTGCTTCTTAGTTCTTACCTTCTTGATCATGTAAAGTTAATGGTTTCTGGAAATTGTGTTTTTTGGATGATCATGTGAACCCTTGAATAGAATCTCTGTTAATTGTCCATAAGAAGTGCATTTAAATAACTTTATGACTTTCACAGTTGGTATACTTACACTTGTAATAGCTTTTAGTGACAATTCACTTCCTCTTATCAAGTTTCTGACCATAGTTTTGCAATAATAATCAGTTTGAATACTGATTTTGTTTCACAATAATAATAAGTTTGAAGCAGATTTTTTTTTATGGATTATTTGTTGAAGCTTTTAATATCATTGTCTGGTTGTAGGATGTATGAGAGAGGTTTACGTCGTTATAATCCTAATGTAACTGACGAGCAAATTGATCGTGAAGTTGAAAGAAATTTTGCAAAATGGTTTAAAGATTACGTAAGAATTTATATTAATTTCCATTCTTTAAAGTATTCTTTATAGAGAGGTTTATGTTATACTATTACTTACTTGTTTACTAATATTAGGTGTACAATCCATTGAATAATGTGCATAACCAATGTCTGATTGATTTGGCAAATGGTCCTTTAATGGAGGTTAGCATGTACACTGGGTATGTTGTTAACGGTTTCAAGTTTCAAACCAAAGTGCAATGTTTTAGAAAGTCAACTTCGAACTATGGTGTGTCAATTAAGGGAACAAGTTTGGCACAACTTGAATCATACTTTTTTGGCACATTACAAGAGGTCGTTGAGGTTGAGTACCCTAATATTCCAATTAAAAAGGTTGTCTTATTTAAGTGTGAGTGGTTTGACCCAACACCTAATATTGGGGTACGATTCAATTCTGAACATGGTATCACTGAGGTGCAATGCAATAGAAGGTATAACAAGTTTGATCCGTTTATCATTGCAGAAAGTGCATCTCAAGTTTGTTACATTCCATACCCACGAGGTATAAAGGAGAAAGTAAATTGGTTGGTGGTATTGAATGTGCGTCCTAGAGGAACTATCGACAAAGCTTATAGTAATAGTGAAACTTATCAGCAAGTTGACATGTCTTTGAAGAGATATGGTGAAGTTTCAACTCAAGAAGAAATGACAAACTTAGTACACGAACCGTTACAAATAGATGAAGTGCAATTACCCCCGGTTAGACAAGAACGGTTAGAAGAAGATAGTGAAGGGTTTGAAGAAGAATATAGTGAAGAAGAGAATGAGCAATTTGAGGATGAAGAGGAAAGGTTTAAAGAAGAATATAGTGAAGAAGAGGATGAGCACTTTGAGGATGAAGATGGTGGATATTCTGATAGATGAAAAAAGTGAATAATAATAACTAATGTGTAAGTGTGTAAATAAATAAAATAGAATAATAATAATAATTATTATTATTTAATATAAATAAAAGGCATGTTGGCTACTTGGCTATATAAGGTAATAAGGGAAGATATTAATTTTCAAATTTGAGAAATGAATCCTCTCCGCATCCCTAAATTCCCTTGCCAGAGTTGCGCTAAATCCTCTTCGCACCCCTAAATCATCTCCGCATCTGAAGTTACAAAATCACTATCTTCAAGCCAAAGCTACGGATCATCCTCAAGCTAAAGCTATGGAGACGCCATCCTCAACTGAGTCGCACCTCAACCGAGTCATCAACGGAGTCATTTCAAGCTAAAGCTGGGGAGTCCCACATCTTCATCCGCATCTCAACCAAAATGTAATTGCATCTCAAATTTTCAATGCTATATACTAAGTGTACTAAATTAAGTCTCTGTTTAGGGTTTATGAGTAGATATTAAGAAATATACATTGTTGTTTTTCTATTTTTGTTTTATACAGAGTCTCTGTTTAGGGTTTCTGAGTGAGAAAATAAACATTGTGGTATATTTTCAGTCCTACAGTCCTCCATTTACCTTTGAGTTCAAATTCCATTGTGTTTTATATTTTTATATATTAGTGCTTCTGTAAGCTTTCTTATATCTTCCAATGTGTGAGCTGCACTTAGTGTTATCATCAACATTTATCAGCTGCATGATATATTGGTGCATTATTCTCATCAAATAAAGTGTTTTAGTTGTTATGATCATAATGCAGTCTATGTTAAATAAGTAGCTATGTTGATTCTCTGTTAGACACCTACAGTTGTCAGGGGTTCATATTGTTTGGAATCTAGACCTCAAGACTTGAGGTTGCATCTAGTACAATGGCAAAACATGGAAAATTTTCAATTGATGCTAAGGCTCGTACTAAAACAAAACATATGAGAAGAAGAAAGAAGATATCTAAGGTATTATTGTCTCTTAGTTATTTGTTGTTTAAGTTATTGTGAATATTTAACCTTGTTACTAATGAATAGAGTTGGCAGTTAATTAATAGAGATCTTCTATGCAGGGGAGAAAATGTGAAGCTCAAGGTTTGGAACATCAAGATTTTGAGGTATGTTTGTTTTGACATTTTTGTGGCATTGACATCTTTTTGCATTCCAAATAATCGTTAGTGGACTGAACTTTTCATTTTTGCTCAGTTTTAACTATGCAAATTTGCATGAAGCATTGATCATCTGAAGAAGCTTGCTTTGTGTGTGCATTCCCTTCTGGTTGTTCATAGAAAATTCACGATTCTTGGTAAATGATACATAGTTGTTTCATTTCATAGTAATAATACTGCAATAATTAAGGTTTAATATGGTGTTCATTAAAATAATCAAATGGCCCAATTTTTGTTTTCTATTCAACTAATTATGAGAGCATCATATCATATCATATGGTAGAATTATATATATGTTGTTCTGAAAGAGGTGAGTTGAAAGGTGTGAAAGTATTTACTGCAACATTATATATCTGAGTCCCAAAGCCAAAAGCCAAGAAGAAGCCACATAGGTGCTCGTGATCACAGTCTGTCCCCCATATTTTTTAGGTTGTTTTCCTTCTCCCACCACACCTTCTTCTTCTGCGTTTATTCCCTGTTTGTATCTTTCTCACACCCTCCCCCCACTGTACTGTACTTCTCATATTCCCCGTCAAACCCTTTTAACAAACAAACAAATACAAACGGATTTTTTTCCTTTTTTTATCTCTCTCTCTCTCTCTCTCTCTCTCTCTCTCTCTCTCTCTCTCTCTCTTGTGCCCAATTTCCACAAAGAAAATTTAGCCTGGCAGATGTTGACTTTTATACATACATTTTTGTGGCATTGACATCTTTTTGCATTCCAAATAATCGTTAGTGGACTGAACTTTTCATTTTTGCTCAGTTTTAACTATGCAAATTTGCATGTTAACGTGTGTTGTTAACATTGATTACGTGTCTCTATTGCAGCTATTGAGAAATTCTGCAACTGCATCTGCTTCAAAAGAACAAAATGTTAAGGTAAGTTGGCTATGGGAGCTTTAATAGAGGACTTAAATAAATAGTGGCTTTCACATCTGAGTTTCTAGTGACAGAATTTCAGTTCATTTTAAAATCGCAAAAGAAACTTCCTCTATAATTTATATCATCTTTCCCTGTAAAGTAGACTTTATTTTTGGAGGAAAATGCAGAATTAAATTATACAATTTATATCGTCTTTTAGATGTGAATGCTCTTAACTGCTTGTTAACGTGTGTTGTTAACATTGATTACGTGTCTCTATTGCAGCTATTGAGAAATTCTGCAACTGCATCTGCTTCAAAAGAACAAAATGTTAAGGTAAGTTGGCTATGGGAGCTTTAATAGAGGACTTAAATAAATAGTGGCTTTCACATCTGAGTTTCTAGTGATAGAATTTCAGTTCATTTTAAAATCACAAAAGAAACTTCCTCTATAATTTATATCATCTTTCCCTGTAAAGTAGACTTTATTTTTGGAGGAAAATGCAGAATTAAATTATATAATTTATATCGTCTTTTAGATGCGAATGCTCTTAACTGCTTAGAATGGTGTGAGGTCAGTGATGTATTCTTTGTCCATGCATAACATAAATTATATATGCTGCAGCTATACGTTTAGAACATGTTTCTTCATATATTTATTTCAGAACTGGTTGATCTTTTAGAGTGGTATTGTATTTATTATTGCTTTTGTCTGGTTATATTTTTCTAAATATCTTCTTGATAAATGGTCTGTCTTTGCACATGATTTTCTTACTTATGATGCAATTATCTGCAAACAACTGCGTTTCCTGAATGAGAATTCACTGATGATTTTTGCTGAAGGAGTGGATTGTTTTCAGCTTTTGGTAGTTTAGTAAACAGCTCAGTGCGCTTTCTTGTTTTGGAGTTCAATATTTGTTGTCTTGTTGAATGCCTAAACTTCTCAAGTCAGTTTCCTTGTGTGTATTCATGTTCTATTTTCCAAGTTGAATTCAAGAGTTAAATTCTGTAAAGTAGACTTTATTTTTGGAGGAAAATGCAGAATTAATTTCAACTGACTTTGTTTTATTTGTGAACATAATATGCCTATAAAACTTTTAAATTTTTATAGCAGCATGATAGGACCCTGATGTCTCAGCATAACAATAAACGCAAGGGTAAAGGAATTGCTCTTCCACAATCTGAAGAACTCATATTGCAACCTCCATCAATGACTATTTTAGAAGAAGATCATATGCAAATACAAATGATTCCTACGCCACCGAACATTGTGCGACGAGAGTTACATGATACTGATTCAGAGCGTACAATATCAACTGGTCCAAGCACAAGTAATAGCTATATGGCAGGAGGACCATCAAGGAGCAGTTCTGAACTAAGCAGTCGCAATAAGACCTTTATTCATCCTATTGGCAATACAACGTAAGTAGTTTTGAGTGCCTGGTGTTTTAGTACTTTCAAAATATCATTTGTTTTTATTTGTTTCTAAATTTGTAATGCATTGCAGATTCGAACCTAGCAGTGTGCACACAAATATTATGCCTTGCATTAATCGGATATTCCCAGAGGCAGTTAATACTTTTAAAACTGCTCCTCAACATCTTAAGGATGTTTGGTTTAATGAATTCAAGGTAAAGCATTATACATTATACATTTGTGATAATATTTGAAAAAAAAAAAAAAAAGCTGCTAAAAGGCTATTTTTTGTTTCAGAAACGACATGAATGGGATCCTAATGATGAGGATACTGTTCGGATGATATTTGAGAAAAAGGCTGCTAAATTGCTTGCTGACGCGTTAAGTGATGTGCGCACAAGATTGGCATCAGGAAATGGAGTACCAGGATGGATATCTGATCCTGTATTGGCCCAATACCATGTCATATGGAACAGCAATGAATTCAAGAAGATAAGTGAGAAGAATAAGCGTAATAGGAACTCAGATTGTGGAGGAATAGGTCCATCATTACACACTGCAGGTTCTATCCCTATCACCGAACATAGAAGAAGACTAGTAAGTTATATACAATCAATTGATACCTATTTTTGAATAGAAAGAAAATTTATATTGAATTTTATTAAGTATTATTTCTACTATTGTTGAATAGAAAGAAAAGCTTGGAAAGGAGCCTACTTATACAGAACTATTCAATGCTACACACACACTTAAACGAGGAGGATATGTATGCCGAAAAGCGCAGAAAGTAATTGTAAGATTCCCTATTCAATGTTGCTTTAATATAGAACTATTCAATTATTAGTTGAATAAGATAACTCAGAGTGTTTTGCTATGAGTTTTTGTTTTGCTATGAGTTTCTGTTGAGAAAGATTGCATCCTCAGCTGTTATGGTTTTTGGCTGATGTGTCTAGGGTAGTGTATTGCATCCTCAGATGTTATGGTTTTCTGCTTGATATTCAACATTTCTTTTTAATCTCCCAAGTGTTTTCATTATATTGTTGTGGCCTTTGTACTTAACTTTAACCCTGGATATATATGTCAAAGAAACGCCTTCCCAGGCTGAAATAGCTAATACTTATTTGCATGGATCACAATTGCTAGCATGCTTTCTGTTTGTTAATTTTATTAGAGTTGACTTGATATAAACTAAAAACTTATAATGTAATTCAATTCGCTGATTATCCTTCAATTCAACTCCCTTCATGCACTTTATTGGCTCTTCTAGTTTAATGATGAAAACATGTAATCCAGGCCAGCAAATATACAAACATCCAGTACACCAAGCTTTGATAGTCCATTTCTTTTGCATGTTCAATTATTGACAATATAATTGGTAAGCAGCAGAAAAAGGGAAGAAAAGGCGAAAATCACAACTGCTAGCATGCATAAATGCCTCATATTATCTCCTATCTATTTGCACGATCAAATACCAATACCTTACCATCTACACTGTATACCATCTACATTGTTTGAGTATAGTTGCTTACCATTTAGTTATGAGTTTCTGTTTGAGCATAGTTGCTTACCAATTTAGGCTCTTTTTTTTCCTCAGGAAACAGTGACTGAATTGAAGCAAAAACAACCTGAAATGATGGAAACAACAGTGTGGTTAAAGGCCACTGGTGGCGTGAGGAAAGGGGGGGTCCGTTTCAGGATTTGGGTCGGATACCCAACATTACTTCCCGGAGGCTATGATACACCGGAAATCAAAGATCGGGCCATCAACTTCACATGCATCTTGCGAGGCTCGAATTAAGCAATTAGAATATCAAAATCAAGTAATGCATCAAAAGCAAAAGGATATGGAAGAGCAATACCGTAGTATATGTGAGACTGTCAAAAATATGGAATCAGCATTTGCCAACTTTAGTGCACATCTTAGTAGTCCTAACTTGGATGGTATTCGCAGTGACGATGATACACAGCCCCCCTCCGATCAGTCCGAGGATAATACACTATCCCCCACTCTAATCAAGATTAGATAGTGTAGTATTTGAATGTTTTTAACATGTATTTTGGGTGGTGAAACAATTGCTACAACCTTTTTTTTTTTTAAAGCACAATTGCTACAACCTTATTTAGCATGTTTAGCTAATATTTTGACAAATGTATTTTTGATGGTGAAACAATTGCTACACCTTGATTTAAATGAATGACTAATGTTTGATTTCCCTATATTGTTAATTGTATTGTAGAATTTAATATTGCAGTGCTGAAATTTGAATTTCAATTATAATAGGTCAAATTCATTTGATATTTGCAGAATTTTAATTTTTTTTTTTTGTTAGTAAATATTACCGACCACCCTAGTGCTCGACAATACAAATTTTATTTTTTTCTTTGTAAATCTTACCGACCACTGGTGGATAGTAATTCTGACCAATTACCGACCACCAGTGATAGGAAATATGCTCTCTTTATCCGACAACCATTAGTTCCGACGTCTTAAAAAAGAAGTTGGTATTTTCGACCACCCTGACTAGTTGTCGATAATAGCTAGGGCTTTTTTTCCGAATCCATAAAGTGGTCGCTAAGTTGGTCGGAAACAGCATTTCCGACCGGAAATGCCCCTTTTCCGACCACTTTTTGGCGGTCGGAAAAATGCAGATTTCCAACAGTGATATTGCGACTTATGTTGTGGAACCGTGTCCACCTTGAAAGGTGGACACGATTCCAAAATTGTTCATAATTATGAATATATAGTTTAAAAATTATGAATATATAGTTTTATAATTATGAACTAGTATTTCACCCGTGCGATGCACGGATTAAAAATTATAAATATTATTGTTATGTTATTAACAATTCATAAGTCTTTTTCAATTTTAAGTATGAATATGTTTTGTAAATATTATTCATTTGAAAAGATTTTATATGTTAAGTACTTATATTTTCTAGTTAAATAGTTCAATATATATTATAATTGCAACATATATATATATATATATATATATATATATATATATATATATATATATATATTATAAGTGCTACATGTAAGACCCAATATTCTGTAAGAAATGACTACTCTTATCATCATTATTACAAAAAAAATCCAAATATTACAGCCGGCGGAATTGTTGTAGGATGCAACTTTATCTTCCCGTAAGTACAACAAAGTAAATACTTTAGTTTTGAAGTACACATAATTTTGTTGATTCTTTCTTCCATCCAAAACAAAGCACCACAGTGCTCACATGAATATATTGGAACACCAAAGTCCAAATATGTACCTAATTAACAACCACTTCATCACCAATATTAACAATCGAACGTGCAAACTCCTTAATCTCTTGTATTTCAACCTCTTATGGTAATCATCTCAGACAAAGATTCTTTGTTAGCCAGTTATATCCCATATATATTTTTAACCATATAAATATATAAAGCATTGCATATTTATTTATGTTTAATCAAATATATTTAATTCTATATATTTACCTTACTTTTATATATATATATATATATATATATATATATATATATATATATATATATATATATATATATATATATAAACAAATAAATTTATTATATAAATAAATAAAGCCCTAAAAAAATAAAATAATTAATTTATTAGAATTCTCTAAAAACGCTTCCTCATCCGTCATTGCTCGCATCTCTCTCTCTCTCTTTGAAACGCTGAATTCATCCTCATCATTCATCTGTCGTCTATCTCTCTCTCTCTCTCTCTCTCTCTCTCTCTCTCTCTCTCTCTCTTTGCATTTCAACAAAATTCATCTATACTCTTGTTGTAGTACAGATCTGGAAAGCATACATTTCTAAAGCTTAGCTAGAAACGAAGATCAAGCATCCAAGAAACCTGGAGTTAAGTAGTTCTTCCTCTCTTCCTCTCTTCCTCTGTAAAATTAACTACTTAATTCATCTTTTTCTTCTTTAATCTATGAATTTTTTTATAATCTGTACTAACTTCTCGAATATAAAGCTTAAAATTTCATAACTGTGTTTGTCGAATCAAGTTCACGGAGCTGAAATTGTAAATGTTTTACTTAAGTTCATTTTTAATAAGCTTAGTATTAATAATATAATATTAATAGTGACATTGATCTTATATCACTATTAATCATTTGTTAAAATTTTGTATGTTAATAACACTAAATTTTGAACTTTAGTAATTAAAGATATATTTTTCTTGCAAGGTATATTTTTAAACCTGGAAATAGTAGCAGTTTCTTTCAATTTCTAGCTTCAATCTTGCAGTTAAGGTAACTTTCATACTATATGTTTAAAAAAATCGTTTCTAGTATAGAAATTGCCACAAATTTTACGAATATACGAAACCCTAACTCTATATTATTATTATTATTATTATTATTATTATTATTATTATTATTATTATTATTATTATTATTATTATTATTATTATTATTATTATTATTATTATTATTATTATTATTATTATTATTATTATTATTATTATTATTATTATTATTATTATTATTATTATTATTATTGTTCTTATTATTATTGTTATTATTATTGTTATTATTATTGTTATTATTGTTGTTATTATTGTTGTTATTGTTGTTGTTATTGTTGTTGTTATTGTTGTTGTTATTGTTGTTGTTGTTGTTGTTGTTGTTGTTGTTGTTGTTGTTGTTGTTATTGTTATTGTTATTGTTATTGTTATTATTATTATTATTATTATTATTATTATTATTATTATTATTATTATCCTATCATGCGTCCCTCTCTATATGTTTACATATAGAGAGAATCCATCCCTCTCCAAACTTTATTGACTTGATGAGCAAGGAACTCTACTGTTTCCCGGTCAATCTTTCTAGACCCGTATCTTTTCCACAAATAAACAAAAAACACATTTGTTTACGCTAAAAGCAAGATGAATTAAAGCCAGAAAAACTATGACGCAGAAAGAACGATGTCGCATAAGATATACACGAAATGATAGTAGAAGAAGAAATCTACCTAAGCGGTGTTGTTGTAGACATAGATGGTGGTTGTTCTCTCCAAGAAGTTAGAAGAGAATTGCGGAATATATAATATGTAATAATAATTGATTGCTAATTTTACGAAAATATATATGGTTAATTAATAAAATTAATTATTTTACTAAAATAACTTCTAGTAAAATACTACACGTATTACTCTACTTTATACCATCCTAATATGCATATATGGTAAATATGCAATATAATATATGCTATGCACAGATTTATAGTAACCTAATTTATATTTAATTAAGGTAATTAGCTATACACTACTACCTAATCATTACCTAATAATAACCTAATATATATTATTCACGCAGAATTTTCTATACACGGATATGAATAATATATAATATATAATATATAATTTCTATAATTGATTAAATTAGGATATTACATAAATGCCTCTAAGTTTTGGGGGGAAAATTTGAGAAGGAGGATTTTATTTTTATATATATATAGATTATTAATTTCCGTTCCAATTTTCCTTTTCTATTGTTTGAGCAGGAAAATGATGTAGGAAGACTTTGTTTTTATATATAATATAAAAATTAAAAAAAACAATATGCGACGTCGGTTAAGTATAAATAACCGACTTCATACGTTAATTTTAAAAAATTTTAAAAATATACGACGTCGTATCATTTATTTACAAGTAATTAAAACGTTTGCATTATCAACGTCGACGAAAAACCGACGTTAAAAGTGCCAAAAAATAGACGTTAAAAGTGTTATTTGTAGTAGTGACTTCCTTGCAAGTTAGAAGAAATTTTGTGCTACGTGTTCTACCACCTTTGTTGACCAGGTACATCTTTCTCTTCATCGCTTGCTAGTTGTTCCCCTTCCCTTAAGTGGTCATTTGGTCCGGCCATAGCACCTTGAGGCCCCTTCCAAGATTGACCGACCAGTCATTAAATAATTCGACTGCTCGATCATCCTTTCTCAGCTACTAGCAATTCAATTTTTACGAGCCATAAATGTGCTATTTATCACCGTAATTAGCAGCTCAATAAGCGGAGTGATGCACTGATCAATTGTTATGCCATGGACCAGAGTCTACCTTGGATAGTTATGCTGTGCATCCGTATGCACCATGCATGGTGCATACGGATGCCAAAACGACGTCGTTTTATTAAAAAACGTGCGTTTTCCCTTTAAAAAAAATCCAGGTTCGATTCCCAGCAACAACATTATATTGTTCATTCATTCTGGAATTTTAGTTCATAGATTATGGAATTATAGTTCATTGATTATGGAATTATAGTTCATCGATTATGGAATTGTAGTTCATCGATTCTGAAATTTTAGTTTATAGATTATGGAATTTTAGTTCATAGATTAGATTATGGAATTATAGTTCATCGATTATGGAATTTTAGTTCATATGTTGTTGCTGGGAATTGAACCTGATTTTTTTTAAGGGGAGACGCGCTTTTTATTAAAACGACGTCGTTTTTGCATCCGTATGCACCATGCATGATGCATACGGATATACAGCATAATTTGCAGTCTACCTTGCAAGGAAGATCCAGGTCCAAAACGGCGTAGTTTTGCTTCAAAACGACGCCGTCCGAATTTAAAACAAAAAATTGTTTCCTTCCTTTCCGTTTGTCTTCAAAATTCGTTTCTCTATATTCACAATTTTTTAATTCTATATTCACAATTATAGAACTGAATATTCACAATTTTAGATCTCAATATTCACGATTTTAGAACTCAATATTCACAATTGCAGAACTCTATATTCACAATTATAGAACTCTATATTCACAATTACAGAACTCTATATTCAACATTATAACACAATTTTTAATCTATATTCACAATTTTTGAAGTCTATATATATATATATATATATATATATATATATATATATATATATATATATATATATATATATATATATATATTCACAATTTTTGAACTCTATATTCACACAAAAATAATAATAATAATAATAATCAGTGGTTGAGGAAACGGTTCACTAATGGCACCGATATTCCAAACACGCAAAATTGCATCGTTTTGGACCTGGGGGACCCATCCAAGGTGGACCCGGGTCACAACATAATTTGCCGTGCACCGATCACGCCTCACACTTTACGTTAATTACTAGTAACGTCTCTTCAAAAGTATCACATGTT